CGGCAGGGGCTGAGCCAACCGCGAGCCGGCTCTGCTGGGCCCCGGGGCAGCTGGCGGCTCCCTCGGCCCCGGCGCACGGAGCAATCCCAAGCGCAGAGCGGCCAAGAGCAGGTTCCCGGGGGCTTGCGGTGCCGCCTGTGCCCCGGGAGGGAGCCCGGCCGGGCAGCGGTGGCGCCTGCCACGCTCCCTGGGTTCCTGGCTCACCTCCTAGGTAAAGGACACGGTGGAGGTAACGTAATTGCCTTTCCAGACGGACTCAGGCGTTTAGAAGTGCTACCTCTAGCTGGGCATTATTTTTTCTACAGTTAATGATAATTTGTGGGAAAATTAAGAGGCTTGCTTTTTTTTGCAGTTATTTACATACATGGGCGGCACTGAGCAGGGAGTTCCGGCCAAAACAAATGAAAGCAGAGGGAAACGGTCTGAAAATGTTTCATTTCAAACCTTTATTTTTCATTCTAAAGTGAGCTAAATAAAAGGGTAACAAAAAAATAAACGGGTTCAGTAATTTCTGAAATGAAGCATTTGGTTTCAGTCCAAAGACAAACATTTCAGCCCCCCCCCCCCCCATGGCTTTTTCAGCTCGCCAAAGGACACACTAAGTGATGTAGCTTGGTTTGTCTATCGAAGAGCTCTTGCCCCTGCCCCTTTTTTACTTCACCGCTGCTGCCCGCTCCCCCCGACCCAGTTCCCAGCCTTGCGCGTGCTCCCTCTGGCTGTGCCCTTCCTCGGCGTCCTCCACGCTGACGCAGACCAGGAGACTCGTCCTGTCTCTGGGCTGGACAGCAGCAGCTTTTTAGGAGTCGTGTGTGTGTTAGCTGGGCATCTCTGCCGCAGTGGTAGCGGGTGAGGCAGGAGATGGCAGGGGTCGCAGCTAGCGCAGGGAGCCAGACCTGGCCAGCGGTGAGCATGAGGCACAGCCAGGACACAGTTCTGGTCTCTTGACCACTTTAATCATCCATTTTTCTCATAGGTCTTCATTTGCATCCTGCAACTGAGGGAACCAGCCACGGTGGCTTAGAGAATAAGGTAACCATAGGTCTTTTATGGTGTAATCGTCCCTGCTATCAAGCCATCTCCCCCCCCCCATCCCAGGCTTCTGCTGGTTAGTCCAGCAAAACCCAGCTTTTCTCCTCACTTCTGCATTCCCAGTCCCCTTGCCTGCCACAGCTCTCCCTTCTCCCTCTACCTGGAGGGGCGCTGAGAAGTCAAATGACCCTTCCCCAGTCAGTCTTAGGCTGAAGCTGATGTGCAGCCTCTGGCACACCACACCGCTCACTTTTGGGGACAATCATAGATTGTCAGGGCTAGAAGAGATCTACTCTAGGACGGCTGCAGGGTAAACAGAGAGCCTGACTGCCGGAGTATCACCTATTGATTGGGAAACGTGGGGCAGAGGCTGTTTCCCAAATGTTAATGGCCCTGCAGACGCCAGTGAGCATTGGTCCTCTGGGAATTGTGTTCTCATCTCCCCCCGGCTTCCGGGGAAAGCAACCGGCTCCTCGCCTGTGCCACATCAGCATTGCTCACGCTGGCTGTAATGTAACTACGCCAGTTTGAACAGGCCAAAAGTCTTGTTTACGCCAAAGAAAGAAGTTAGTATTAAGCCTAGGGCGCACAGCATGTCGCTTTGCAGTTCTCCTCCCCGTCCCTGGACCGTGGCCCTTGCAGCAGCTCAGAACACGGGAAATGCTGCACTGCAGAAAGGGTCCCGCAGCGGAGTTGGGTCTTCGGCTGCTGCTGGCTGCTCCCCCAGCCAGTGCAACCCTCGTGGGCGGTAAGGGACATCCCTGCTTACCGGGGGGCGGGGGGGG